GATCGGTATTAATCGTTTTTAACTAAAGTTCATGACATCGAAGAAATACTTCACGTGTCCTTATGATTATTACTTATATTATTATTTTTTTTTTTTCTACCACATTGTTTTATTAAGATGCTTTTCAAAAATTTTGCTGTCGTAAGACCAAGCTGTCGTGTTGACTCTGTATGAGAAACGACTTTTTCCTACGCACAGCAGGTACACATGATAAAAATCGACGCTGCTTGACAAATAGGAAAACAATTACTTTACAGCTGAGCTATGATCCATGAAATTGGAGGAATACGATCTGCTGAGTTTATAAATAAAGATCCATATTTTGTTTACGCATACATTCACATATCCGTGATACATAAGATATTGCAAGAAGAAAAAACAGCTCGTATAGGGATAGAGTTTTCTCTACGTAGGTACAGCCTTTTAAGTAGACCACATGTTTTTTTTTTCCTATAGGCTCATTGATTTGTAGCATTAAAAATGCAAGGCCAGACGCCTGTTGCGTTGAACATTTTTCTAAATATAGGTAAAACTTTAGATTAGATTCGTCTAAAGTTTAATCGGGTTCACTAGCAATTTGTTGCTGTTTTCTCTCGCAATGCTAAAAAAACGACACCTCGAAAAAAACAGGATAGTTCTTTCGCTATTAAAACGCGCGTAGGCACCTGTAGGCTCTCCAAAAAATATTTATTGCTCGCACCACTTCTCGATGAAATGGAAGGATGTTGAGCTCATTGTCATTGACTCATATTACTGTGGTTTTGTTTTTTTGTTCTCTGTGAAGGTTAGTAGAGTAAAGTCAAGAACAATTTTTCATTTTTTTTTGTTTTTCTTTACAATGCCAACAGTTGTTTTGAGCTCGGAATCCAACTTGCAATCCAGAAATGCTCCGAATTCACTTGTGCTCAAAATTATGTTCGAAAGGTAAAAGTGGGTAATTCCTCACCAGCTGCTGTCCCCCAGAAAATATATCATTAGTAGGTATATAGATGACGAGGGCATCAATGTGTCAGGTGTTATAAGAGAGTCTTTTTGTTTGACGCGCTGTGTACTATGCAGGTACTATAGTAGGTATAGGTATCCCCACCGACGCGACGGCGTAAAGGGGGTTGATGAGCTACAAGACCGCATTTATAACTAGGGAGGGTAGTTTCGATCTTGATTGCCATATAAATTGATGAAACAGCGTGATAACTCTTTGGCTCATTTTTTGTAACATATGAAAGGGAAGTTTTTTATAGGGATAGTAGGTAACTTGATAACTATAATATTTAAGCTTCAGTGGATGAACATATTTATTTTCAAAAGAATTAGAAGTTCTAGTATTCATTAAGACTTTGAAGTTGTTTGTCATTGAATGATTTTTGCCAACGATTTACCACCGAATGTATATCTGTGGATTCAAGAGAAAAATTGTTGTAATTAAGTTTTTTTACCTTTTTGTAAAAATCGCTTTGCTTTTGCTTACCTTCGTTGCTCCTGTAAATAATTCCTATGCTCGTGGTCGCATAGAACTTTTGTACATTCAAAATANATTGGATAACTCTTTGGCTCATTTTTTGTAACTAGTCAATTGTCCTTTCAGTGATTCTAACTTTTTCTTATTTCCTCAATTATTTCATCGATCATTTCGGATGAAAGTCATTTTTAAATTATTTTACTTTTTTGTATACTTGGAACACATAAATGCAAATCAATATATAAAATACGTTATCACAGAGCTTAGACTTAGGAAAATTAACGTTAAAAAATGGATAAGTTGGAGCTATCAACCGAAGACCATGTGTACTTTAAATCATAAATCTATACATAATTATTAATTTCCTTGTAATGTCTATACTTACTCTTCATCATGATTTAATAGTATCGAAGCAGACCATTTTCCCGAATCAGTGTCATAGTTTAGAATGATTCGAATTATTTCGAGACTTTACCTACCAACTTATATACAGATATACATATTAGGATGCCGTTATTTAAAAAAAAAGTTTCTTTAATTTTTATGATTATTTAAAAAAAGTTAGATCTTTACGTACAAATGTTAAGGATATTCAATTTGTCCAAAAAATATATGTGTTCTCGACAAACGGATAATGAGACAAAGTGCCGCATTTATTATAAGATTTTGCTTAAGAAAGTCTCATAATATACTTTATTTTTAACCTTTTTCTGGAAAATTAAGGTTGCAAAAAACTTGAAGATAAAATGTTACTTTACTCAACAAATTGATGTATAGAAATAGATGCTAGGATTAATTTTCGGTATTGTCTTTGGATGGTAAAAACACTAGACTAGTTACAAAAAATATAGTATTCTAGATAGTATAAAATATGTAGAACTTACATTAATTTTTTTTCTCAAAGTTTAGTGCTTGTCCAAACCATTGAAATAAACTAAATCGATAGTAAATTATCCGCTCCACACGCTCGTGTTTTCATTTTTACTGTAGCTCTTAACGTTACTTACATGTAAGCAAAATAAAATTCAAATGCAATTTTAACATTGATCCACCACTCACAAAAATGGTTCATCTATCTTTATCGTAATCAGCACATCAAATTATTTAAAAGATCAAAAAGGCCTTTTTCTCTAACAAATTTTTAGTTCAGAAGTTTCTCGGTTATTATTCATCTCCGGGCAATAGACTAATGGGACTAGTAAGAGTAGCAAGTTGGCAACAGCTCAGAAGGCGCTAGAAAGAAGAACCTTTAGAGTGAGGCTGAAGACGCCATATTATCGGGACCGTATCTTCGACAAAAGTGGTGGAGTCTTAGAGACTTAGAGAGGGAAACACAGATTCACTCGCATACGTATACACATCTCCACTTATTGGCTTGTTATTCTCTCAGTTAGTCCCGAAAACGGCAGAGCCAATGACTTACTTTTAGACACTTCAGCTACACTCCCTTATTTGGACCAAAAGGTATGGGGTTCTACAAAGATAAACGATACACTCGGAATTCGCAAACTTCTCTCGAAAATCCCTTAAAAAAAAAGGTTTTGCATGCGCAATCAAGTAATGTTCGAGAAAAACTTTTAAATTTTCGATACATTGATTATTTGGATAGAGCTTTGGGAAGCATACATGAAAACGTGGTTCAAGTAATCAGCTTATATAAAGCGTTGAAATATATATTCTCTGCCTTAAAACTAACAGACATGCACTTCTTCCATTACTGATAAGAGGTTATTACTGATAAGAGGTATAGTAACTTTGACCATAATCTATATTTTTTTTTTATAAATTAAAAAAGCCCCTCATTACTGGTATTTTTATTAGAATATTCGATTAGAAAATTTGGACGGTAAAAATGCAGGAATTCTACCCAGTGAAATGGACATATCGGGTCATCAGATTGCGTCATCTAGCAACACAACTACAGAGGAGAGACAGTTAAACTAATGGAGGCTATCCGACAATTATTTTCCCTTCTTACCTGACAAAAATATCCTACGTCTGTTTTGCATATCGACATACATACATATTGATATCGTGGGTAAAGTAGTCGGCTCATATAAAGAGTTTCATTCTATATTCTCTGCCACGAGACCCAAAGACACTCGCATCTTCCATTATTGATAAGAGGTTACAATAGAGTAAATTTAACTAAAAACAAAAATCTACGCTTTCATTAACTTATCAAGAAAACAGCAAAATATTAGTAATTTCATTAAAATGTTCTAAGAACTTCCAGCAAGGCGAGAAGAAGATAAACTAAATTTAGAACCTAAACGGCCCGACTATCAGGATGTGTCGGGTCATCAGATTGTGTCTTTTAACAACACATCTACAGAGGAAAAACAATTAGCCTTTACAAAGATACGTGGTAGTGATTCTCCCTTCTCATCCGACAAAAATGAGGTAAAGCCATGAGCAATTGTGAACGAATACATTTCTTTTTGTTTTTATTACGGTATAATAATATTAGGTATAATATAAGGTATAATAGAAGAATGTCTTCGAATAAAGAGTTTAAAACTAAATTTAAAATAACCACTGTACATTTAAGAAATAAATAAAAAATTGGCGGTACAATTGTAAATATATAATTTCAAGTAAACTATAAAAGTCAGTAATTTTTTTGTAGGCAAACAAAATGTTTTTTGTCCTGTTGCAAATCATGACTGTTATTGTTTGAATAAGCTTTGAAATTTAAAATGTCACATGGAAAAAATTCAATAAGAAATACTTTTTTTCTGTTCGGTGCAAGACACCATTTTTTCTATATCATGATATAAAACAAAAACTTCAAGAAAAAATTTTTTTTCATTTTCAATTGCAAAAAACGATTTGTGATGTACATAATACAATATCTTGGCTGTTTTTTTTATGTATGTGATCGAAATTAGGTGAATTAGTTTTGGAATGAAAAAGCACTTATGTTGAAACAAAAATAGTTGAATAAATATTGTTTGTATTCAAATTTATAAAATGTTTGTGATTTTTTTTAATGACAGGCAAATTCGCCCATGTTTTAAACTAAAAATTTGACTGTTAGCTGTGTATTATTTGTGTGATCAAATATACATAAATTTACTCACATGTATCAAACGCGTTATTTTTAAATAGTTAAAAATGCAATAGTATTCAAGGTGTTAACCGACTACCACATATCCCGAGTAATGTGAACATGAAAATTTTCAAAGTGAAATCAAAAAAATTATTACTCTTTACGGTTTACCGAGCGATTAATTCATCCCTGTGTTAACCAAATCAAACTATTGAATAAACTTTTTTTTACGGGATGACGAAAAATCGTATACATCATCGCCAACGCTATAGGTGACTGATGGACGGCCGCGTGAAGTCGAGGGCGACATCACGCGGCCGTACATCAGCCACTTAACGGACTCGTGACGTAATATACTGAGTCGTTCTACATCCACTTTGCATATCATTCATTCTGGGGGCATACATAGAATCGTGGCTGCAGTAATCCACTTATATAGAGAGTTTCCTTCTATATTCTGTGCCACAAGACGGAAGACACACGCTTCTTTTATTACTGATAAGAGGTTATAATAAAGTTTCTATAACCACAATTCACGTTTTCTTACCACTCGAGAAATCCACGAAATACCAGTGTTTTCATCAAAATGTTCAAAGAACGCTTAGAAAAGTTTGAAGAAGATGGACTAAATTTAGAAGCTACAGGACGGCCCGAGTGTCAGGATGTGTCGGGTAAACAGATTGTCTCTCCAAGCAACTCATCTACAGAGAAAAGACAGTTAGCCCTTACAAAGATATTCGGTGATGATTCTCCCTTCTCATCCGACAATATTGAGGTAAAGCCATGAGCAATTGTGAACAAACATATTTTTTGTGTTTTTCTTACAAATTCATGATAGCGGTGTATTTGTAGGACGTCTATAAGAGGATGATGGATTGTGCACAATATTCTCTGGATTCAATCAGCACCACCGTAAGTATAGAAGTTCTTTGTCTAACTTATTTTCTAGTTTTACTTTTCAAATATATAATTTTCTTCGTGTCAAACGCTTAAAATAAGTTTTATAATGTATGTGCTGATTAGTCTTATGTTCTGCTTCGTCAACAATTTTGATCATATAATTAGTATGAATAAAAATCTCTACCTGTTAAAAGTCTCATAATCCTACCTTCATCAGACCTGCAAATAAATTTTGATTTCCACTGATGTATTCGTTCTGTGATTGGTCGAGACTAGTCTTGGGAGCGTAAGTTTCAAAATAAGAATAAATAATCGGTAGAATAAGTTTTTTTATTGAATAACAATTAAAACAGTAAGTTTTATAGTTATAAATTATTTAATTGTTTTGACAAAATCGTGAAGTCGAACATTTGTTTCCAACTGTGAGAGATTGGATGCGAGAAGCGCGTAGTACTATTTGACTTTTATGTATGCAGCTTATTTTAATGTGGGCAATATGTTAATTAAGACAACTGTTTAATTTTTAGGTCTGTGATAACACTATTACAGTTACGGGTCAACCAGAAGAGGATAAAAACGTCCCATTCGATACTATGACCATCCCACGTAACATTTTAGAAAAGTATGATATGGAAAAAGTTGAGGCATGACTTAGAGATGACAAAACCTTGTTTATAACTCTTCCAAAAAAATATGGGCCAGTTGTCAGTAAATAGACTGTAACCAACATTAAAAATATAAGCTTATTCACGGTCACAACTAACAAAAGAAAATGTATAAAGAAAAAGAATAAATGATGTCACTGCTTAACCTCACCTTTCTTTATACGAATAATTAACCAAAGCCATTTGAGATATTATATTTTTAATTAAATTAATACAAAGATAAAAATTACATTTCAAACGATTTATAAAACAAGTTAATTAAGACGCTTATACACTTGTCGATCCACTAATGCTAAGTACAATTTTTCGATTTTACACTTAATAGAGATACTTACAGTATCATAGTCTATTGCAAAAAATCTTAAGACACAAGATAGAAGGTATACTTTAAGTATATCTTATAAAACTTGCTCCTTATTTTGTTGTTATAAATGGTTTTACAGATTTTAAGTTATTTGACGTGGTAGCTACAAAAAAAAGGGTTCAGCTAAAATATTTATATGCAATACTTAATACAGTAACTAATGAAGTAGACAGGACTATAGTAACGTTTCGCTAGCTTTCGTTTTGCCAACAAATTATTGACCATAAGCACACACAAGCATCATACAATAAAATACGAAAAATTGTTAATATAAAGAAAAAAATTAACTTTTATGACATTTTTATTATTATTACCAACAAATTGACACCACTGAAAGAGTATGACTAAAAATTTACTCCTGTCAAGTCTACGTTTATATTGAGCAATGGTCTGCCAGTGACTGGGTACAGACTACCCACCCCGCAACCGTAACAAACATTATACTACTCGGAGCCTATCAATATTTGACAAAACTCGTCACAAAGATAAATAAACTCTTCAAAATATTTAAAACAATTTGAGGCCTTCTTTCTTATTCGAAGTATTTCTATTTAAACTAATATAAATTATGTCTGATAACAGTTTTTTTTTTTTTTTTTTTTTTTTTTTTAGTTAGGCTCTTTATCACGTTTTCACTGAGTTGGAGTTGGAGTTGAAGAATTGGATCTCCTTTCTTTAAAGCAATAGCTTTTTTTTCTAGTATTACCTAATGGAATACCTAAGACTTTGCAATTGTACTTCATAATAACTGAGCGTCGTATTATGTCAGTTGTGTAAAAAACCACCCTTTCATTGCATATCTGAAATTAAAAAACTTTAGAATGACGTATACGCTAAAAAGTATTCCATTTTAATTCATCAAATATTTATAACTTTCAAGGACTTTTTTTATTCGCTAAGATATAGTGTGCTAGCCTGTAACTAGGTTTACACTTTTACACACACCCATGCGCACCAAAGCGGACATATACATTGTTACAGATATTAGAACTATTAGTGTAACTGTTTGCGATAATATGAGAATTACATTGTAAATTTGATGACGTCTTCGTAGCACTATTTTTCTAATAAAATGTTGCAGATGTTTTTCAATGACTTTTATTGAATTTTTCTCTTCATGATGAAAATTTTTTTTATATTAAAATGTATTGAAACTATTTTTTATTAATCACTTTGACCGCCATTTTAAAAAGATTTATTTTTTAAAATAATTATCACACCAACTGAATAATTTACATTACCTGCTTAAAAGCATCTTCTCCCGTTGCAGGTAGACTATTCTCATCCTTCAAAAACAATTTCAGTTTGTCATTTATATTGTCCTTCGAGCTCTAAAAAAAAGTCGTAAGGTAAAGTTTTTAAAAATAATAAAAATGGTATATTCAGTTAAAACTTCAAAAAATTACCGAGTAAAACGTTAATGAGTCAGTTTTTTTTAAAGTGATTAATTGATATGTTTTGTCCTCTAAAAATCCATTTGCATTTTTAAATGGAATGTGTGGTATTGAAACTGTAGCGAAGCTGGTGAAGCAGCCCGCGTACATTGAAATAATAATGAATGCTGTCAGATACAGCGATAGTCTTGCTATCTTGGATGATACGGAATTAAATTGTACATCTGCAAATTGAAAAAAAAAATTAAGTATAGTCAGTTAACCCCACCGTACAAGTTTTCAAATTCCTACAGTTTAAAAATTATACCTAACAGGAGATAATTATCATACAAGTGCAAAGTCATAGATTTTGCGAATTCAAATAATTATCCATAACTTTTCAATTTCTCAATTCAAGTTTCTCAGAAGTCATGTAAAATCTAAATGTCTGCATGAATAAAAGGATTTCATACACGTAACGTATACAAAAATTACTATGCATAGTCAGGGCAAGAACCCCTTCCCAGCTCTTTGGAAAGTTATTATTTGAACACTAATTTTTTTAGGAAATTTCCAACTATTTTTAACTTTTCTCGGACGATTTCCTTCTTTCATGAATGTTCACTTTAAGGTCATAGATCTTCTGGAGGGGAGTTAATATTTTTTAGCTGAAGAAGTTGCAAGCGTAGATTAACTGAGGTTTGTAGGAAAATGGAGAGGTACAGTCCAATTTTAATAATTTGGTTTCACTCGTTAAACAATACAATGTGGTAAGATAAAGAGGAAAGTAATAATCATCGATATTGTTTTGAATTCATTTTGGTTCTTTTCGTGGTGCTAGGGACATTTAGTGGCTACTTTCTTTTGATTTATTATAAATATTGGAAAGAAACTAATAGTTATTTAAGTAACAAGTGCGGAAGATATGTTCAACAAGAGTAGTGATTGACTCGCACGAGCTACCAGACACGAGATCAAGTTTATCAAACAAATATGGAAAGTGGTCCCTGATGAGACACGTTAAAGATTTTTCGTAGTTCAACTATGTGGAAATTAGGTATAAGACAGGTATAAATGCTAAAAACCAGCGTGTAGCAAATTTTTTTCCGGTGTGTGATAAAACCTTTGACTTACACTGGATCCACAATGCTTCGATAAGAAATTATTCCTACCACGAGTCTATTTTTGTGACTATCGACCGATAACAGCGCCCTCAGTAGAAAAAAATATCGTTCGTGACACAATCGCTATCCAACTAAGGCTACCCCATGATGCACAGAACAGTTTTTATAATGATAGCACTTGTATGACGTTACTACAATTACACACCTTGAGCGTTCTTGAGGATCCGGTGTGCCCTTGGTAAGAAAATTAATGTTTGGCACACAAGTGCCATCCCATCATAATGTTAAAGTATTTTCTGTATTTTGTTAACAAACCTTAATTAATAGTTTACCTGTGAATTCTTGATGAACAAACATCCGCCATACGTTCAAAAAACTGTCCGACAGCTTAAAAATAAATCCTCTTCTATCATTATGGAATACTAAAATCATACTAAATAAAATTGTTGAAATAGCTACGAGTATAACCAGGAAAATCCAAATACGCTTACTAAAAACCTGTTAAATTAAAAGGATATTGTAAGTTATAAGAAACAAAGTCATTATTATTTTACAATTTGATTTTTTTACCTCAAAATAAGCGTTCCATGGAATCTCCATGGTGTCCGGTAATTTATACCAAAAGAAATCTTGAAAATCCATGATTTCAATCGTGAAGTCATGCTTATCTAAATTTTTGTTCGTTAAAAACTTGCCAGGAAAAATAATACTCTCATTTAATAATTTTGTCGAATTAATTGATGTATTTTCGACACTTTCATGTGATTCCTTCTTGACATGGGAATCGTTTTCATGCTCAAGTGCTAATCCTGTTCTTACTGCAAAATCTTCAACTATTTCAGAATAAAACAAAGAAGGCTACAAAAATGCAGAAAAAAAATTTAGTTTTTTTTAATGCAATGATTGCGTTATTTTAAACTTAACAAAATTTGTTTTTAAATAAATTCGTCACCTCAGCAATAATTGTAGCCGACGCACCACTTAAATTCTTTCGTCTCTGGACTAAAGCTCGATTGTCTACAATGGTTAATCCTTTTTCTTTGCTCCACTCAAATAATTTATTAACTTGTAATTCATTTTGGGGTCCGACAGCGAACCATTCATGAATGTTTTTATTGTTTCCGCATTTTATCAAAACTTCACTTTTTAGATTCAAGTAAAGGTAATTCTTTTCAGGATAACGGCAAGTGTTATCAATTTTTTCAGTAACGGCTGGCCGGAATAACAAGAGCCATACGTGAGGCGATAGATTGTGATGCCTCGAAAAGTGTGTGATTTTTTCGAAATCATTGTCAGAATTTAAAAACACCACAAAAAGGGTTTTCGAATAATTTCTTAGTTTCGGATACTTTTCTGGAAGATCCGATATAGTCGAAGCTACAGAATATACCATTTTACGCGAGAATTCTTTAACCAATTTAACCACCGAATGTATATCTGGGAATTTAAAGAAAAATTCTTGTCATTCAGTATTTATATCTTTTCAAGAAGCGCTTTACTTTTGCTCACCTTCGTTGCTCCTATAAATAATTCCTATACTGGTGGTCGCATAGAACTTTTGTACATCCAAAATTACAGGAACTTGACTTTCCATGTTTTTTGCTGAATCACATGGCATGAATAAAACAATGGCAAATATTACAACGAGGCTGGTTAGCTTCATCATTTTTGGCTAAAAATATGTAAAGAAAATTCAAACGATTAATCATAGAATTTAATAAATTATTATTTAAACGTACTCTATTGAAGTTAGTGAAAGCGAGATTATTTTAATTGAGTGTTACTACAAACATATAGTAAAATAAACATTATATTTAGTTCAATTAAAATATCTTTACATTATTAATATTTTTATTGCATAATCTAAAACTAAGTAGGCATAAAAACTGTAAAAAACTAATTTTTATATTCCTGTTTTAACAACATTTATTGCCATATTTTGAAATATTTAACTATTTAAATATTTCAGTATTGCAAAAAAATAGTTAGTTTCTGAAGTTACTTATCGAAAAATTCACTAGTTTATTTACAGCAGTTTATTGGATACATTTTAATTTGTTCGTGTTTCTAACGTTTAAATACCGTTTCGTATTTTTAGCCAACCAAACACCTTGAACAATCGTG